TTTGTAAAAATTAAAAGAGACAGCTCAACCAGCGTGCATGCCTATAACATTATATTTATGCACTTATTCACGCTTTTGAGTTGTGACAATCATTATAAAATTTATTTGTTTCTTCAAAGAAAGTACTAGTATATAATTGTATCGCACGAGTCTTTTTGTTCAAAACGTAATTGAATAAAAAATCGAATATTAATTAACCTTGTTTATATGCATTTTTGGGCACCATTGAACAACTTACTTAGTGGCATGTAGTTAATGACTACGAATCTCTGTCTTTTGAGAATTTTAAAAAATCTACTTAAGGTGGCTCCCTACAGTTTTAAGAATATTCAAAACTAACGAGTTATAATTATTGAAATTTTTGGCAGGAAATTTTTTGCTAAACGAAATGAAATTTTCCAAATATATTAACAAACATTCTAACAGTCGAAAATTGTCTTTGAATATCACGTCATTACCGTTGTTATGGTAACAATGGCGATTCAATATGGCCGTCATTTTACCTATTCACGCATTTTACTCGAAAACAAGTTCGGTTACCTCAATTTTTTATTTTATAAAAGTTTTTCTTACAAAAAAATGAAAAATTCCAGTTAAAAAAAATCTATAGAGCCAAAATTTTTAAAAATTAAAAAACGTGATTTTTCGTTATAGAAATTTTTTGGCTCAATAGAATTTTTTTAAACTTGCTCAAATTTCCTATTTTTTTGTAAGAAAATTTTTTATAAAATAAAAAATTGGAGTAACCGAACTTGTTTTCGAGTAAAATGCGTGAATAGGTAAAATGTCGGCCATATTGAATCGCCATTGTTACCATAACAACGGTAATGACGGCATGCTCATGGGCAATTTCTGACTGTTAGAATGTTGGTTAATAGGTTTGGAAACTAGTTGAAAATGGACATTACCAATATTTTATGATATTGATTGGAAACTAGTTGAAAATGGACATTACCAATATCTTTAAGATAATTGTATAAATCAACTGAAAGGCCTGTGAATCGGAAAGATTAGTGGACATCTTTATAGATTTAAGCCTTGCTGTTTCCTAATTTTTAGAATTTCAAAATAAATTAACTAGGTATTGTCACGCTTCTCGGAATATCGGTTGTCAAAAACGAGCTTCTATAAAAGATTTGGTACACGTTCCCTTTAATATTGTGACCTTCCCAGGAAAACATACGTTAACGATATTTCGTTGAAACGGCAAAACGAACGGATAACGAACTGGTAGTGAACGATCTGTAATAACGTTTCAACGAATCTAGAAAACGTTTTGACGAATTCAGTCAAGAATACGAACGTATTAACGAGTTAGTCTGAAAGCTTGCTGGGCGTGATATGATTGACGCAAAATATTATTGACTAATTAACAGAATTGGAAATATATGTCAAACAAGTAACATGTGTTGGCGCAACTATGTATGCATTTAAATATACTTTCATTTGAATATTTAACTAAAATTATTAGCTATACTACCTAAATCACGTTATTTTAAACTATATAAATAATACATCATGATTGTAAATCTGATTTGTTGAACCATTTAATTTTGGAATTTTGGTTACTTTTTGATACAAAGTGGATATAATTTTGCAAAATAATTTGGAAAAATATAAAATTTCTTAAATCCATGATTTTATAGTAAGTATAGCACTTTTAGACAACGCGCATGCAAGAATGAGCGCTAAATTCTGGTCATAGTTATTATTTTTGGAAACTGGCTGACAAGAGAAATCCACCGAATTCGGTATATCGATAAGACCCTGTAATGGCATGGGTACTACCGTTAAGCAACTTAACCCAGAATGTGTTGCCCTTTTCCAAAACTACAAAAATTGTTTTCGTCAGTTGATCGTAATTACGATAACAAAACTTATAAGTTTTGTGGTTTGCATGTATATCACTAATTTTACCATTATTTTTCATTAGCGTAAAGTGTGAGTTGTATCCATTAAGTTGAAGGTACGTTGAAGTAAACTGGTAAAGACCTGCAGTGGGAGCAGTAAATTTTCCGGTACTTGGATTGTAGCCGTTTCCAATGTTTAAAGCAACGTCGTTGAATTTAATTGCGCCATCGGCGTAGTTAGGTCCGATATTACTACTTGTAAGAGTAGCTTGGAAAGCGACCAAAGTCTAAAATAATTATTAATGTTAACGTTAGGATTTTATTAGGAGGATTAACAAACCACGTTCAGCAGTCCAATATAAAAAAAATCGAATTTTTCTAGCTTTGCTAACACTATAATCATAATACCTTAAAAACTTAATCCCCATTTTTTCTCAGTTAATGAAATAATTTACGGCCTAAAAATTACTATACCAGTCCTTGAATACCAATACCTTTTCTGTTAACAATGAAATCACGCATACCCTCGTCAAAATTTAGCGTTATACCCCCATTCTATGAGAAAAAAACGAATGTTTTTCTCAGTTGAAACTATGTTAAAGGTATATGTAACAACTCTTTCCATATTTTTTTTAAACAAAAGTTCTAAAACTTTTCACGACTTATTGGGAGGGAGTTGTACACGTTGATCATATTTCATAAAACTCAAATCTGAGTTGAAAAATACGGACGTGCATATTTCTGCGTATTCCGGCGTATGCGTGATATGCAAAAATACTGTTATATGCAAAAATACAATTGCTTTAGAATTAATACCTTAGAATCTGTTTGTAATTTGAATACTGCATGTATATCTAGCATAATGATATTATGTTCTGGGCTCACGGAAAGCTAGTCGCCCAATGAAAATCATAAGAAAACATTTGCCATTTACTATAACGTCTACGATCAAATCTTGTAGTTTCGATGCAATGATCGTTATACGAGTGCTGCATTTCGCGATAGCTTTTCAGCTTTTCACCGGCATTTGGCTCGTTAATATATGGCCCGAAGTGTTCTAACTAGCTGATAAAGCTGACATTGACCCGCGTTTTGTTTTTTCTTGATATTGCATTGGCTGGAAAACAATTCTAATCGGTTATTTCTGCACCGCTTAATAATCGATTTTAGCTGGCATAAAATCGCTTCTCTTGTGCTACATACTATTATTTATCTAAAGGCGCAATAATTATCCGAGTCCCTATTGTGACGTAATAAATACCAGTTTCCAACTGTCGCGGATTTCAAAAACTTTTGCCGTTAAAATTTTCAAATGTTATTGCTTTATTTCAGCGCGAAAACAAACTGAATTTCAAATGTGATAACTATTTTTGTAATCTACGTTTCACGGCGATTCTAATTATATAAATTCCAATTTTATGACTTTGGCATGCAATTTAAGAGTTATTGTGCTTACTCTCGTCGTATGATTATGCGCCGATAGCCGAGGAGGCGCGCGGCGCCAAGTTAGGTATTTGACGAGAGGTATTATATATGCACATGCATGCACTTGTTACGCAAGGGTTTATTGTGTTCAGATGTAATATTATACACAGTAAAATATGTGTAAAAATATGAATATCAACTGGGATGACAGGGATAAGTGATTGATTTTTCCCACAAGATGTCTGGGTAAATATAAATTTCGGCCATTCGAAATGATTAAACTTTTCCTCTCATGTAGACATATAATGGGATTAAACAAGTGATAAGGTGAAAACATTTATATCCCTGTCAAAACTAATACCTGGATTAGTCCTAAGACGTTGCTTATCTTAACTGTCACATTTTATAAAAAATGTGCGTGCTGTAGGAAAATGTAAGCTCTTACGTCTATCAATTTCCATTAACCGCAAATTTATAACTTGCGTATAAATTTTTGATATAAAATAAGATATCGTCCACAGAGGTATTTTTTGTAAATTTTACTAGTTGTTGATGATGAATATTTTAAGTTGTGAATAGTTTAAGTATTGATCGATTGAGAAGAAGGCCAACTCGACTGGTGCGACAACGCTTCAAACAAACAAGATATGAGAGCTTGGGCGATCTTCTAACGCCAACCCACATGTGAAACGTTCAATCAGAAGCGTTCGAACGACTTACGTTTATGAACGGTTTTAACGAATTAGTGTGAAGGCTTGATGCGCGTGATATGATTGACGGAAAATAAATTATTAGCTCTATATGCTACCTAAATAACATTAATTTGTACTTTATATGCATATACATTTGCGCCGTTTTGCGACAAATTTCGGGTTAAGCATTAGAAAGCCTTCAGCCTCCACAGACAAAATCGATGTATGAGTGATTAAACATAGACGTAAACATGCATCCGTTTTATTAACACGGCTGTAAACCAGGCCTAGCTGTAAACGAAGAATGACATAGATGGCCTGCCTTCGATAATAAGGTAATAGGCAATGTCATCGGTCATCGTCTCAGTTTGGTTGAGTTTCAGCTACTGGATATAATTATATTTATATTTCGATAAACTACTAACCTTTCTGCTGAAGTAAGATTTTTTCAGAATTGAGACTTTGCTTCACTCTTACATCCAGTGTTAGCAATTTAAACTAAATTCTCTGCAAAAGTTTACTCAGACAGAAAAGTTAGTAGGCTATCGATTTTATGTCAAACCAAACACAAGAGATTCCATTGTACACTCTTGCTTATACTCTTTGACGCGCAAACGATTAAAAAAAATTAGCGCAATGTTCAAGTTGTTTAGAGATGATAACCAGACATTATTACAAAATATCGCATACGCAAAGTTCGCGTGTATGCGAATCAGCGTAGAAACGTGTTTTCGTGCTGTCAAAACTAATTTGTTGTAAATACGACATGTTTGTTTCGATGTTCGTTTCATTTGGCAGGGTTTCGTTCAAGTGTTTCTTAAAGTTTCATGTATTTTAAATATTCCCACATATATTTATATACACGTGGAAATCCACATTTAATTTCAATCCCAGTAATGTATTGCGCAGTAATATTTCAATAAAATTTTTGATAAAATGTAAGCTCGGATATTCGAGAGGACATGGTACATTTTCGCTAAAAAATTTTAAATCTTATGTTTGTTGAAACATATAATTTTTGCACTTTGGTTCCTTTTTAATACAAAGTTAAAATGCATGTAAACGTGCAAAATAATCAGGTATATATAACAATTATAATGATATAGTAAGTAGCACTTCAGGCAACGCATACATGCATGCGTGAGTTAGCGCTTAATTCTGGTTATGGTGATTCTTGTTGGAGACTGGCTGACAAAAGAAATCCACCGAATTCGGTATATCGACCACTCCCGCCATAAATGGCATAGGTACTACCGTTAACCAACTCAACCCAGAAAGTGTCGCCCTTTGCCAAAACTACAAAAATTGTTTTCGTCAGTTGATCGTAACTCTTGTGGTTTGAATGCATTTTACTGATCATATTATTATTCTTCATTAGCCTAACGCGAGAGTTGTATCCATTATTTTGAAGGTACGTTGCAGTAAACTGGTAAAGACCTGCGGTGGGAGCAGTAAATTTTCCGGTGCTTGGATTGTAGCCGTTTCCAATGTTTAAAGCCACGTCGTTGAATTTAATTGCGCCATCAGCGTAGTTAGGTCCAAGAATACCACTTGTAAGAGTAGCTTGGAAAGCGACCAAAGTCTAAAATAAATGTTAGGCTTTTATTCGGAAGATTAACAAACTGTGATTAGCAATCCCACATTTAATTTCGAATTTAGTTAAGTCTGCTAACACTATAAAACAATTTAATTATAACTTCATATAAACATTTCTTATCAGTTAATGAAATCATTTACAGCGTAAAATTATCTATACCTGTCCTTGAATACCAACGCCTTTTCCATTAACAATGAAATCACGCATACCCTCTTCAAAATTTAGCGTTATACCCCCATTCTATGAGAAACAAAACGAATGTCTTTCTCAGTAGGAACTATATAGGAGCTGTATTAAAGGCATGGGACAACTCTTTCAATCCTATTTTTTTTCTTTAAAGAAAGCATTTAGGTTCTAAAACATTTCACGGCTTATCGGGCGGGATTTGTACACGTTGACCATAATTATTTCATAAAACCCAAGTCTGAGTTGAAACATAGAAGCGATATGCAGCAACTTACCAAGGGGACGTTTAAAGCCCTGCTTTCTCTCACAACGGTAGAGACGCCAAATTGACCAGTGGTAACAAGCACGAGGCCAAACAAAACGAGGTTATTAGACGACAGGCACGACATATTTTTTTTGATGATCTTTCTTTTTTAAAGGCTTCCTCAAAATGATCTTGACTTTTACTTCAACTGCGAATTTATGTAAAACGGGTGGATATGATCTGCCGTGGAAACAGAGATATATTTATTTATTTTAAGCATCACATGCGACAATAATTATAAAAAATATCTATTTCTTCAAAGCGCTTACCAATGAATTAGGCATTGATGCATATACTAAGCGAAATGCTTTCATGTGTTTTAGGGTGATTGGACGGAAAACTGCATGGTGCATGCTATAGAAAATGATTGACGAACATCAGTTATCCTAGACTAATTAATAACATAACAGCACCTGAATTTTGTCTGTGATAGTTTTGTATTTTTCCTACTAAATAATTATTTGTCAGCTTGGCCAGACAGCATGCTTATTACAATATAATAATGCACTTATGAACGCTTGCGTGTGAGTGGTAAACTTCATCAAAATTCATCCATTCACCACAAAGCAAGTCAGGTATATTATCTTATCGCACGAGATTTTCCGTTCAAATTCCAGAAAATTCCTGAAGCATGTGCATTAAAATAGATGATTAACTTTATTTCTTTTTTATCTATTTATTACGCTGTATGGCCTAAATGTTTTGCCGTGTTTCAGACGAAGTGGCGGGAAAACTGATCCCGTGGGAAATGTCGTCCATTGAACCGAGACTTAGATTCTAAGCTTATTATGATACTAATTCATAACACGTTCCAACACCGCAATGTGCGGATATCTGTTTTGAATTTTTTTAACTATAGGATTTACAAAAGTCAGCTCCGCCAGCCTTCATTGAAACAAAATACGGCAACTTACCAAGGGGACGTTTAAAGCCCTCCTTTCTCATGCAATGGTAGATAGTGACACAAAATTCACCAGTAGTAACAAGTGCGAGACCTAGAAATACGAAATTAACGGAGGTCATGCACGACATAATTAATTTGGCGATCATTGCATGCCTTTAAATAAAAGATAACAGCAGTGGCGTAGCCAGCCTGACGAATTTGACCCGCTATGTAATTTCGAGGCATTATAATTATTCATGTCTTTAAAAATCTATATTGTTTTCACAGTCAGTGAACACTAAAATATTAGCATAGCGGGACAAATTGACAGGCTGACTACGCTACTGGATAACAGTAACAATCGGCCATGCTTGAAAACAGAAATATATTAATCTATTTTAGGCATCACATGCCACAATAATTATAAAAATATCCATAAATTCAAAGCGTTTATCAAAGAACTAGGCATTGATGCATGTATAGGCGAAATGTTTTCATGTGTTTTAGAGGGAATGGAAAAAAAACTGCATAATCCTATCGAAAATGATTGAAGAACATCAGTAATCCTAGACTAAGTCATAACACATACCAGCACCTTAATTATGTCTGTGGTAGGTTTTGTATTTTTCCAACGTACTATACAAGAATTTTTCAGCTCGACCAGACTGCATGCTTATGACATTATAATTATGCACGCTTGCGTGTGAGTTGTGAACATCATAATAAAATCTATCCACTTACCATCAAAGCAAGTCTAGTGTATTATCTTATCGCACGAGGTTTTCCGTTCATAATTAATCTTGTTTATGTAGCCTAGAAATTCACAACACATGCCAGCACCGCAATGTGGTCTGTGACAGTTTTCTACTTATTTCAACAATAAGAATTACAAAAGTCAACTCTCGAGCTGCATCCCTAGGGCAATAATTATAATCTTATCCATGCACGCTTGTGAGTTGTGATGAACAAATCCTTCAAAGCAAGTACAATAATGTCCCCGACACTCCCTTGAATGTATAATTTATCACACTAGTCATTTCGTTCAAAATATATAATTGGGTAAAAATTAAAATTAGAAATTATCTTGTTTATGTAACCTTGGACGCCAGCTCAGAAAATTCCTGAAGCATGTGCATTAAAATAGGTGATTAACTTTACTTCTTTTTTAACTCTGTAAATGAAGCAATCTGATTGGCTGAGAAGCGTTTCACTGCGGGCCGGAATTTTGCATCCAGCCCGCTGCAAAATGCATCCGGCCCGCTGTGAAAAATGCAAGCAAAACGACAAATTAACTAAAGCAACGTACGGCTAAAATGTGTGAAAACCTTTCTGGAAAAGGCTAAATGAATGTTAAAAATAAAAAACATACCCAAAAACTTCTTTTTTTGGATTTTTTACGCTTTTTTTCGCTTGTCAATACGTTGTTTTTTTAATCGATTCGCCGTGATTTAGTTGCTATGGTAACAATATTTGCCATTTCATTGGCTGTTTCCCGACTAGGATATCCTTATAAGAAGTTGTTGACGTATTAAAATTCTAAAATGGCTTGCAGAATTTAAATTTTTTATAGTTTTTTTATTAAATTTGTTGTATTTTTTGTGTTTTATAAAGTCAAAAAAGTCAAGGTCACGTTTTCGAGACCTCCGGCACAGTTTTTTGCATCCGGACCTCGCAGCCGGTAAATAACATATATTTATTTTTTATCTATTTATTGCGCTGTATGGCCTAATTTTTTTCCCGTGTTTCAGACGAAGTGGCGGGAAAACTGATCCCGTGGGAAATGTCGTCCATTGAACCGAGACTTAGATTCTAAGCTTATTATGACACTAATTCATAACACATTCCAACACCGCAATGTGCAGATATCTGTTTTGAATTTTTTTTCAACTATAGGAATTACAAAAGTGAGCTCGGCCAGCCTGCATGGAAACAAAATGCAGCAACTTAGAAAAGCGGACGCTTAAAGCCCTCCTTTCTCATACCACGGTAAAAAGTGGCCGGCATGAAATTCAGCAGTAGTAAGAACACGAAGCCTAGAAATACGGAATTAACAGACGACTTCCACGACGTAATTAATTTGGCGATCATTGCTTTTAGATAATAGATAACGGTAACAATCAGCGATGAAACCAGAAATGAATTGATCTATTTCAAGAATCACATGCGACAATAATTATAGAAAAAATTCTATACGTTCAAAGCGAATACTAAAGACTCAAAATTCTTATGGGTATGCTCCTCTTCGATCAAGAAGACAAATGAAAAAGGACAGTCAAGAGAAGTGGACAGTGACGAAAGTTATCCACGACGTGCAACATCAATCGTGAATTTAGATGGCAAGGAAGAAAGCAAAACGCTTGGTGTAACATAGAATCCAAAGAGAGATGTAATTGGATTTGAATCAAAAGAAATAAAGGTCGAAAAACTGACAAAAAGATCCGTCCTCTCGAACATTTTGAAGCTGTACGACCCACTCGGTCTGGCATCTGCAGTAACGATAAGGCGAGGGTAGCCTTGCAGAATATTTGGAAATCAAAACAATTCGATTGGGACGACCCTCTCCCTGAAGTCATGAGCGACACTTGTAGAAAATTGTTTTAGGAAATCGAAAGTCTCAAGAAAGTCGATTTTCCGAGGAGCCTTCAATCGAAAGAAGTATCTGGTCATTCCGAGTTACACGTCTTCGCGGATGTAAGCAAAGATGCTTATGGCGCACCGTAGCGTACTTGGTTTGGACTATCCCTTATGGTTGTCACGTTAGTCTTGTGTCTGCGAAAGCACGAGTTGCTCCACTGAGGAACATAACAATCCCGAGACTGGAGTTGATGACTACACTAATCGCGTCTAGACTCGCTCGTACTATTGTCGAGGAATTCAAGTGAAAGCCCTCAAGCGTCACATTTTTGGTCAGATTCTACTATTGTGCTCAGCTGGCTACGCTATGAATCGACTTCATTCAAGCCGTTCGTCGGAGTTGAGGTGGCTGAGACCCAAGAAAGTTGGATTCCAAGTTCATGGCGGCATGTCCCATCAGAAGAGAATCCAGCTGATGATTTGAGTCGCGGTATTGTATACAGTAGAAGAATTAAGTTCAGGCCATTGGAGCAAAGGTCCATCTTTTCTTTCGAAGCCAAAGACCGAATGGCCATGTGAAAGAACTGCAGAACACGACATTAAAAACAAAGACCCCCTTGGCAGCAATTGCAAACCTCCAACCTCTGTTGAATCCAGATCGTTTCTCAGATTGGGATAGATAAGTGAGACTAACAGCTCATTGTCAACGTTTTGTTAAAAACCTGAAGAGTGCGATACAAGACCCGCCAAAGATCACAAGGGAGTCCTACAGCCAGAAGAAACCAAAGAAGCCCAATTTTATTGGATCCGATCGAGAAGCTCAACGCGAATTGAAAGCTACAGATTATCCAAACTTGTTCCCTTTCATTGAAGATGGATTAATACGAGTTGGTAGTCGATTAAATGAGTCTGCCTTATTATACGAGCAAGTTAACCCAGCCCTTCTTCCAAAGCGCCATGTTATGACGTCCCTCATCATGCGGAACGCTCATGAAAAAGTGCAACATGCTGATCAGGAAAGAACGTTCTGTGAATCGAGAGCGAAGTATTGGATCCTTGGTGGCAGACAGCTCGCAAAGGACTTGACAAGAAATTGTGTGACTTTTAGGAAAGCGCACCAACCACCACATGCAACGCAAATGCATATTGTCCCAATTGTTCAAATTGGCAGTTCATTCGATGCATCCCATTAGGACCGATAGTTGACTCATTTTTTCATCAACTGTTCCTGGCTTGAATTTGAAGTGTGTATATTTCCACTCGAAATTAAGACGCTTTGAACCTTTAGAATTTAACCACAATAATAGGCTGGTGTGTGGACAAGCCCTGGTGGCTATTGCAGGGCCGTAGTTAGAAGCTTAATTGGGGAGGGGTGTACATTCATAATTATATCCATCTTATGTCCGACTTATTTCTTTTGTGCGCTAATGTTCCTATGGTATATAAACATGTTTTTATGAATATACACCCCCCCCCCAATTAAGCGGTCTAGCTAAGGCCCTGGGCTATTGTAAATTGTTCGAAAATCGAAAAGTTTCAATACTTTGATATGCAAACAGTAAAACACTCACAGTGAAGGGTGAAGAAGCTAACGAAATGAAAGAAAAAATATTAAATTTTGATGGCAAATTGCCAGGAGTGAGTTTGTATTCGGAGAGTCCAAAGATCGAAAATGCCAATTTTGTACTGAAGACACCCAATGGAAATTTGCATGCAAGACCACGAAGATCTAGCGTGAGCTCAGAAATGTT